TTACTACAGTGCTAGACTGTAGACAAGCCGTATCGGATTGCCCGGTGATTCACGAATCCATGTGCCCAGCTGGGTATCCCGAAACACACGCTCCGCTTATACCGTAGGCACAAGCAGGACCAACCCACAATTCTCCTGTCAAGGGTCTAGGTCCCCGTCCAAACTTGGACTCCAAGCCTCCGCACATGAGTCCCGAACTCAGTATGGTGCTTAGACCTCCACCATCTCCGCCTCCAATCAGTCGGTTCAGAAAAAGCCAGAACCCATAACAAGAGAGCAACGAGCCTTCCCTGCTCCCATAAATAAGTATGTGTTCAGGATAATAAGTCTGTGACTTGCCTAGAACCCAATGCAACGGCCGGTCCTTAACCGACACGGACAGGGAAAACAGTATAACCAAGCTATGCCCCGTTGGCCATGGAACACACCCTCTTACACCCACCAATACCCATACCATATCTCTGCCCGGTCTCTATTTTTCCTTTCACCATTTAATCATAAGAGTGATAATAATAATCACCTATTGTGAGTAACGGCAGGTTACTCACGCTACCGAAAATCCTAAGCATAGCAACTATTCGATCTATGCTAGTAGGACTAATAGGTAGATATATCTATGCATGTAGTTTTCCATAAAATGCATGTAACGTAAATGCACATCACATATATATATATATCCATTGATCATTTAAAATAAGGGTTATGCACCGGGACTTGCCTTGGGCAGGCGTGGTGTCAGCAAAGTCAGTCGCTGGTGGCTCCGGGGCTCCTTCCTGTACGAGAATCTCCTCCTCATACTCTTTAATTACCTCCTCATACTCCTACTCGTCCGCAGTCACGAACTCTACCAACTCGTTATCTATATGCATAAAATGATGATGCACCACTTAGTAATGCGACAACAGCGACTCTTAAAATAAGAATACACCAACCAAGCTAACTCTAATGACTATGATGCTAAGCTACCTATTATTCCCGCTAAACAGGTATGAAACATTTCACGTATTATCTTAGCAACTAAAGGCATCCTTATTCTTATTACTGATTTAATATATATACTACAACAAGGAGTACTTAGCCACCATATTTCTCAACATATTCTAAAGTTACAAAAATTACAGTGAGCACATAATAATCTAATTAACCTATTATAAAAATTTCATGGCCAAAGCTATTACCAAATTGCCACAAAAATTCCTACAATTATTAATCTAAATAACATTAAACACTTTCAAATTATTTAATAGACCTTAGCATCAACACAGACATGTATAAACTAACCATACTATCAAATAGACAACATTTTTAGAAACTCAATAGAATTTATTTCACAATTTTTGGACACCTATATGATTTTATATAATTTACTAAAGATCAGCTCAAAACTAATTTGGAAAAACATTTACTAATCTCCAAGAAAAAGGAAAAACTAATTCCTCCGCGTGGCCCGCAATGCGCGGCCCACGCGGCACAGCGCACGCGTGAGCGCGCCCTGCTGGCGCGGCCCACACGAGGCGACCTGCGATGGGGAGGCCCGAGCGGACGCGACACACATGCAAAAACGCCCCTAAACTCGGCAAACTAACCCGTAGTCCATGTTACTATTCCTACATACAGCACTTATGCAAAGGAACCCTTGGAACTTTCTCTTCTTCACAACGGTGAGGCCCCCAGCCACCCGCGCGCGCGCCGCGCGCGGCGGCGATGGCATTGGGCGGCCACGTTGGCTAGCTAGGACCCACGCTAGCACCACTAATAGGCCGACACCCATCTACAACCCTAGCGTCTACACTAGCCTAGCCTACAGGAGCGGCGGAGCTCGTGGAAGTGGCGACCACGGCGCGCGGCCATGCGCGATAGTGGCGCGACCACGCCGGCCACCCTAAGCCACCGCGGGGTGAACTAGCTAGCATATAACATCACTATAGTACCCTGGTTACGTCTGTGATGGTGGTTTGGCCGGAGGTTCCCCGAATAGGGTTGGCCACGTGCGGGCAGTGGAATGCGACGGCGCTCTGAGATGGCACGATCACGTCAGTGGCTACGGCAAGGCGGTAGAGGTGCAAGTGAGGTGCAGCAGGTGAAGTGCAGGTGAAAGTAGAGCTCACGGTGAAGATGGATTGACGAGGGGTGGTGCAGCGGGTGGCTGCCCTCGGCCACGACCGGTTCTGCCCTTAATGGCACGACGGAGGGGGAACTTCCAAATTGGAGTTCGTCGTGGCTCAATTCAAAGCGGGGTAGGTACGGTTGGCACGCGGACGTCCAGGCGCATACACAGGCACACGCAATTGAAGGCGAGCGTCTACGCCCTAGCACACCGTGGCCGCGACGCGACGGTGGAAACAGAGGCGGTCGGCGCATAGAGGCGGGTAGGGGAGAAACAAAGGACGGGAGACGGTGATGACGTGGTGGGTAGCTGGTGAGTGCACCTTAGCGCACCCAGTGTGGCCCATGGCTGGCGCTAGCCAATGACACACGCACAAGGTCGGCGTGGCCCACGCGTCGTAGTGCCATAAATGGCATGCCAACGGTGGTCCGGCCCCACACGCACAGCGCCTAGGCGAACCAAAGATGCAGCGCGGTGCAACGGCAGGCGAGAGCGGGATGGTGACATGACAACAGTGGCAGCGTGTGGTGGGGCAACGAGTTGGCGTGCAGCACGGTGATGGGACGACGACAACGCAGAGGCACAGGCGGACGCGACAGCAGCGTGTTGTGGCACGGCACTGAGGAGGGGCAGCCGCGCGCCAGGGCTATCGGCCATAGTGGCCAGCCAAGCGCATCCAGGTGTGTGTGCACACGGCCGGCACACCAACGCCGTGGCACAGGGGCACGGTGATTGCGTCTACGTGAGGAAAACAACCAAGACCGTGCCATGCACGCTTTTTAAAGCTTCCAATTCAACTAATCGGTTGGCCAAACACCCAAACCATCTTTGCTATATCTAAGAGGGTATATTAGGATACAAAAACCAGCCATAATACAACACCGCTCCTTAACCCAATTTCCCTACAAAAATTACCAAGCATAGCTTTGTCAATCTATTTTCAGACTTAAGAAATTGACTGTCTTGAGTTGGATTTGCGTCAAATTCGATTTCCAAGCTATTAGATACGTTAGCTAGTGATATCATTTTTCGTCTGCAGGTATTTCATCGTCATCTACAAAATTTGTACTTCAAACTTGATTCAAGTATCACATACATGTTCTATAGCATTTTTGTTTAATAAAAATTAGTTTTAAACCCTAAGTGATATAACATGACTACGGAATTAACTTTCGTTATGCATTTCCGTTGATCGTTTTGAGTCACGAAACTTGATCTACACTCTATATTACATGCATTAACACATAAACATGATGCTCATGATATATTTTAGCAAATGATTTACAGTGTAACACTGAGGGTGTTACATCTGTTGGAGCATCTCTCCCAATACCTAAAAAGTAATATTGGGTCATCCTATTATCATGTTAGTGGGGGAGATGTAGAGAACCGCTGAGATGCTCTAATCAACGCATTATCGATACATACATGGAAAGAACATTTTCAGGTGTGTTTGGTTCTCTGGCTATCTCATGACCAGGCTTTCTGGAGCCAACTTGAGTCTGTTTGGTTGGTTGAACAAGCCTTTTAGCTAGGCTCCAGCAAACCACCCAAGGGGTCCTTAGCCTGGCCCCAGAAAACGCAGGAAAAGTGTTTTTCTAGAGCCAGGCCTTGGATAGCGCTCGGGTGAGTTCGCTCACCTCTCCATTCGATAGCCACCACCGCTCGGGACCGGTGGTGCTCAAGAAGGGGCCATGAACGACAGCAGAGGACGCCATGCTCAGGACCATGGCGAGGGGAACTAGAATCCAGTGAGGATGACCGGCCTGCTTCGCTGCGGCAAGAGCTACCGCTTGCGCTGGACCAACCACCTCCGCCCCAACCTCAAGAAGGGCTCCTTCTCCCCAACGAGGGCTCCTCATCGCCTAGCTCCACGCACAGCTCGGCAACAAGTGGGCGCGCATGGGCGTGCATGTAAGCATTGTACTCTCTTTGCCTTGAATAATTTATTTATGGCGAGTGGCGGCTTGTTGATGTGACTTGATGCTTCGTGTTCGTTCCTGTGCTGGTTGGTGCGCATCCGCAGCTGCCGGGGAGGTCGGACAACGAGATCAAGAACTACTGGAACACGAGGACCAAGCACCGCCAAACACGGCTTTGCTGTGTACCCGCCGGAGGTGTAGCTCCACCGCGCTTCTCTCCAAGCGCCACCACGATGACTTTTTTCGCCAGAGTCCTCACAAATGCTCGGTGACGACCAATGTCCGTGAGTCGGAGCCCTTCTCGGTGCCGTTGTCCCTGTGGTGGTTCGTTCACTCGGGCAACGCGCAATACTTCCAACAAGACACTCATCGGTAGTGTCCCCGCGCGACACACCGACCGCCCGATGCACCCGCCATGCGGGACCTTTCCCTCGGCTATATGCGTGCGGCGCGCCGACGACTAGAGTAAATTGCCGCCGCCTAGCCATCCCCTGGCCCCAGAGTGGAGCTCCCTTCAAACCAATACGGCCAGCCGACGCCGCCATCCCGTGTGCCGTGCTCACCAAGGATGCCCATCACGTGTCCGACGAAATGCCTTAGAGGGATTACCTTACCAATTCGGAGAAGAGACCACTATATCAAAATAAAACCTGGCAACCAAACACAGTCCAGAGCTAGCCATGGGTAACTAAACAATCAGATTAGCTTGGTGGGAGCAAACACACCCTACGTCACATCCCTGTCCCTTGTCAAGCAGCTGTACTTGTACGCGCGCCGGACCGAATTCGGAAAGCGACGTCTGTAGGCCGGATGCTTCTTGGGCCCCTACTCTCACATTTCCATACTCTACTATCCCCGCAAGCTCGAATGCGCACCGCCTAAACAAACCCTCCCACTGCCCTCTCCCTCACTCTCCCCTTTTCACCGCGCCGCACTCCCAAGTCCCAAGTCCCAAGTCCCAACAGGCGCAAATGGCGGCGGTCGGAACACTTCCCGGCGCCGCCGCAGTCGCTGGCGCTTCTGTGCCCCAACGCCAACGCCGCGGCGGTGCCCCTTCTTTCGTAGCCGCCTACGTTCCCGAGGGCACCCGCCTCGTCTGCGAGAGGCAGCTCCGTCCGGCTCCGGTCCTCGCCTGTTCCTCCATCCCCCCGTCTCGTCCAGCGAGGCGGCGGTTCCTCTCCGCTGCTGCGGCCGCAGCCTCCTCGGGTTCCGCTGGGTTAGTGCATCCCTTTCTTTCCAGCCGTCTCAGCGCCCCGTACCTTGCATTTGTCCAAGCAACGACAGTCTGGGGCTTTGGGGGGTCTGCTATAGTGTATTCGTTGAAGCTTCTAGAAGCAGAGGTTTAGATCTTGACCACTTAGCCTTCTTCAGCTGAACGGAGCTGTGATATCTGGATAGAGCAATATTACACCACTATGATGTGGTAGCCCACTTTGATTCCAACTTCTAGGCTTGTATTAAAAGCCTAGGTTTAACCTTATGTATATTTTATTTAGCAACCCCACTGAGTGCAGTTCGCTTGATTATGGCTGCAGTGATGCGTAGTGCGTACCCTTTGTTTCAGTGGTGGAGTACAATTGGGGCTGTGCCATTGCACCTCCAATGTTTCGTGTAAATACAAAGAAGCCCTTTGAGTATTGGATGCAGCTCTCAAAATTGGAGCTACCATGTAGTAATTTACCACTTTAACTTATGAAATCTAAGAGTGATCCTACGCTATTTTATATAACCGCAATTCATAGACTAAGCACCCTCGATTTATTTATTGCAATTTACATCTCAATTTTCTAATATATGAGTTCCTTGACTTTTGACTTTTGATCTGAGATTAAGTTCCCATTGTGAAATTCAAAATGATCCATAGTATGTTGTGAGTTTTAACCTTTGGTGACGCCTGGAGCACACAGCGCTGCAGCTAAGAAAATCATTTTGTTGGTCATTAGTAACATGAATTTTCTATTACAGAGAAGCAGAGCCCCAGGGATTTGCAGAGAGATACCCAACCCTTGTCACAGGTTTCTTCTTCTTCTTGTGGTATGTTCACTTACCTGTATTGCCAATCTAGCTTCATGAAACTACGCAAAAAAAAAAAAATCCTTTGGATAGTAGTTTTAATTGTCACCTTGTGATCAAACCTTGCAGGTATTTTCTGAATGTAATATTTAACATCCTCAACAAGAAGATCTTCGACTACTTCCCCTATCCATAGTATGTTTCCTGGATAAGTGTGCATTCTGTCTTTCATGCTGGCACCATTTGCAATAACATATAAAACTTGTACCTATTGTTGTAGTTTGTATCAGTGAGCCATCTTTTTATTGGAGTACTATACTGCCTCATTGGCTGGAGCTTCGGTATCCCAAAGCGCGCGGTATAGTTGACACCTCCATACTCTTTTTCATTTTTGATAGATAACCGCCTCTCTAACTCACAGTTAAGGGTTTTCAGTGACATTTATGAGCAGGGTGTGCGTGCAAACTAAATTGTTTATTCGCTAAAGGAAAATGTTTAATGTTGGATCATATTGCATAGTGAGGTGCATATATAGCGCTTCTGATTTGACAATGTTTCTATTGGATGGATTATACACTGAGAAGAATTAGCAAATGATGCTAAATTATGCAGAATATATATTCTCCAGTGTTTTCGAAATGTTCTTGTATCTATTAAGCACCAGTTGTTTTTTCTACATAGTTTTTTTTATATATTTCAGTGACATCTTTTTCTGGAAGGAACTGATAAACTAATACAAATTGTACTTCTGTAGCCAATCAACTCAACAATTCTGAAGCAGCTTGTTCCAGTTGCGGTTTGCCATGCCATTGGCCATGTAACAAGTACTGTGTCATTTGCTGCTGTAGCTGTGTCATTTGCCCACACTATTAAAGGTGCTTCTATGATAAGCTGATTTTATTTCTATTATTATCCCTCTACCTCTTGTTTTCTTGTGCTAATATGTTTCCAGTTTTACAAATTACAACACAGCTCTCGAGCCATTCTTCAATGCGGCTGCTTCTCAGTTTATCCTTGGACAACCAGTTCCATTGACACTCTGGCTATCTCTTGTTCCAGTCGTGGTTGGTATGTCTTATTCCAGATTTTTCTTTAGTTGTGGTGCTAGCTGTATAAACTTGCACTTGTGATATGCTGCAACATCAATGCTACGGTATTCAAGACAAGGTTCAACTTGGTATTTTTTGTAGCTCTTTGGTTCAGGGGGGTGATGATGTACATGTTGTAGAACAGAAGATAATACTTGTGGGTGATGTGCCAATGCTGCATAGTTCTTATTTAGGGGTGGAGGATAGGTTCAGGTCACCTGCTAAAATGTCATTTATTTTGGTGGAGTAGGTTCAGTATTAGCCTCTCAAAAAAACAAGCAAGGGTAAGGCTGCCTAGAAATTCCCTTTCTTAGACCCCACCTTTTGTGGGAGATGTTAGCACCAGGTAGTCTCTTTAGTTATATAGGGTTTGTTTGGTTCCTTGCATTAGCATGTATCAAGGTTTGTGCAAAGTGTAGTTTAACTGTGTTTGGTTGCCCACAGAGGCACAAAGGCTATAGGTTTGCACAGTGCTCAAAGCAAGTCCAATGCAGCGTTAGATAGTATGCCAAATTTGGTCAGATATTGTCAGTATTAGGCAATGTAGATTTGCACAAGCTGATGGGGCACACAAATCTTCCTCGCCCACCTCTATCGTGAATCGGAGGTGACTACATGTAACACAAAGATAAAGTAAACACTTTGTAACAACCCAAAATCCATACACCAAAAATACCAACTACAAAATTTTTTCCTCAAGAATCCCATGTGATGATGAGTGTCATGCATAGAAACCCAACCTAAGAGATGCATTAAGTCTAACCCAACCCCACCAACATATAAGCATGGCATGTCATTAGATAATTGTGTTTATTAATTTCTAACAAATATAATGTTGCATACCTCGTTAATTCAAAATGTGATTTGGATTTCCATTTGAGTTATGATTTGCTAAACAACTCCAATAAAATAATAAACCATAAAGATATTATTAAACAAAATTCTCTAAACTCCAATGAATAAGCTACCTCAGCTTTTGAATTCAAATTCTAAACCAAATTTGAATCCAAACAATGGAAAAGAAATGAAAAATAGAAAAAGGGAAAAGAAGAAGTGGGCCTCATGACCACCGCTTCGGCCCAAGCCACCACCCAACCATTTCATGCCCAACAGTGTTGCTCACCACGCCCCTTCTTCTTCACCCACACCACGCCCATTGGACCCAGCGTGTCGGCACCTTTTACACACCTCTCATGTCGTCGCCTTCCTCACCCACGCCTCAACCGCCCTCTGCGACCGGCGCCCGCCGACAAGGTGGCGAGGCGGGCGGGCCAGGGTCACGCCGGGCATGGCCTCGCTCTCCTTGGCGCCGCACCCACGCAACCCTTGCTTGCGCCACGCGCTTACGCCACCACACGCGCGAGCCATTGGATGCCACCGATCACGCCTCCATCGCTTCGATCGATCGCCGTCCGCCATTGGAGCTCGGAGCTCGGCTATAAAGCCACGGCCCTCGGTTGCCCTAGCGCTCTCCTGCCCCCACCGCCACCTTGTGACCGGCCACAAAGACACCCCAGCCAAGAGGGAAGAGGGAGGAGAGGAAGAAGGGGGAAAAAGGAAATCTTCGAGTCGCCGCCGGAGGAAGACCGGAGATCACCGGAGCCGAGCGACGACGACACCGCACGGCATGGCTTCCGGAGCTACACGGCCTCGACTCTTCACCGCACCGCTATCCTCTCGCCCTCAACACCTACGGTGAGCCTTCCGGCCTCCCCTTTCGCCGGACCTTCTGCAGTGTCGGCCATGGCGCTCCACATCGTGAGCGCGTAGGCCAAGGCCATCTCCGGCCACCGGGTACACACGCACGACACACTCACGCGCACACCGCGACCACCTCCGAGCCCTTGGACGTTGTAGACCCTCCAAGCCCCACGGACGCCAAGGCGAGCAGCACTCGCTCATCGCGCCGCACGCCGCCGCCGTCGTGGCGCGGCGTACCACCGCCGAGCACCGCACCATCGGCCGAGCACCGCACCACCGGCCAGAGCACCGACCACCGGCCGAGCACCGCACCACCGTGGCGTGTCCGGCTGGGAAGCGCCTAGTGTCTCCTCGTCTCGCCCCATCCTGCTTCATTGAGTCACGGATAACTCACGCGCACGCCGTGACCACCCATTGGAGCCCCCCGTAGTGCACCCGTGCGCCTCGCCGTCGTCACCATGTCGCCGCGGCCACGGAAGCCCTACCGCCACCTGAAACCCGAAACCCGCCTTGAGCCTCGGACGCCCTCGCCAAGGTCCCCACAGATCCATAGGAGCCTCGCACCCCACCGAGACACTTCACCGTGGCCGTAGCCCCCCACACCGACGCCGCTGTCGTGTTTCGGAAGGTCGCCGCCGTGGCTAAGGCCACCGGAGGCCCTGGAGGACCCTCGACCGCCCAACATGCTCATTGGAGCACCGTGGTCGCCCACGCCACACCACGTAAATGGCCTATGCCGCAAAGACTCCGCGCCTTCCCGCACGCCGGTGGAGCTTGAGCCGCTTATCGCTGTGGCCAACACCTTGGGAAGCTCTGGCTGCCCCCTTGACCCCACAGACGCAGTCGCCGTGACCCGGGGAAGCTTTTCCCCTCTCCAATCGGACACCAGCACTGCCACGGGGGCTCACCGGGCGCTTGCCGCCGACGGGAGCACCGCCGCGGAAGAAAACAGAGGAACACCCCCTCGCCGACCACCCGTGCGTGAGCTCGGTGCACGTGAGCCGAACCAGGGAGAAGAGACGGTGGACTTGGTCCACCATGCGCCCTGTCGTAGGTCCATGGACCATGAGCGCTGGTCCACCGTGAACCACACGGTGTGAGCCACGCAGTGGACAAAACCCAATAAAGGCCCACGGCCGTGACATGGCAGCATCACAGCGTGCCACGTGTCCGGTCAGCCCGGCCCAGATTGGCCCAAATCCAAACTGTCCGTGCCGCGGTTTGAGACCCGCCCGTATTGACCGTTGATCGTCAACCATGATCATGTGCCACTGGTCCTACATGTCGATGGCACGACACATGCGGACCCACACGCCGATCTCGACGTCATCTCGACGTCGTCCGACGCGTCGCGGGACCCACTTGTCAAGAGGCAACCGCGGACGAGGTGACGCTATGCCGACGCCGAGAAGCCACGTGGACCAACCCCAAATGACATGTGTCACCCGAGATTAATTCAAATTTTTCCCATTTTCGAAATGGATTAAATCTTCGAAATTCATAACTAATTCATACGACCTCGGAAAAATACGAAACCAGGACCAAAATTCATCTAAAATCAAGCTCTACGCAATGGACCCATGCTTGAGTGCATTTGGTTCTTTTGAATTTTCATTGCTTCTTTGTGCTATTCTATAGACGTCGCTAACGCGACTATAATGCGGTCGTTTGCAGACTCGGAGGAGAACCGGACGGACGAGGACCGAGAGTACCGTGAGGAGTACGGAGACGACTACACTGAAGGTGCCACATCCCACCCAATCTCGTAGCACCTATTACGTATGGCTAAAGTAGAAATGCTAATGCTTACTTTATTGTCATATCACACTACGGTAGGACATGCATGGTAGTTTGCTTTCTTGATGGCCTCTACCTTGACGCAACCTTTCCCCTGCTCACCCTGCTGTTAGGCTAGTCACACGCTTACTAATATATTTCATTGCTTATTACTTCTACTACGCTTGCGCTATATTGATGCGTGGTGGAAAACTTGTGTTAACGGACTATGGGGAGATTGTCATGTGTGACTTGGGTGCGTGGAGGGTGAGGGTTGTGTCGACCAGTTGGAGTATCTGACGAGCCCGGGCAAGTCTTGTCGTGGGTGCTACTGGGCACCCCCTGAATGGATACTGTGGTGGGTAAATGGTATATGAGGTGGCCTTGGGTGTGATCCTGTGATGGGAGGAGCCTGTGGTGGAGGTGTGTGGTGGCACGGTAAATGGAAACCCCGATGAAGACATTCGGCTTGGTCATCCCTAAGGACTTACTAGTACCCAGACTCACCGGAAGCCTTACGTACCACTCGCCTTTATATGGTGCGGGACGGTAGGACTACTTGGTAGGATATTGCCACTCATCGCTAGGTTGATAGCGACGAAGGTAAGGAGGCACGGGCGCGGAGGATTTCCCCACACCCTTCCGAGACTTCATGGAGACCTTGTGGACCCGGCTCATGACTCACGCTTTCAACCACCCTAGACTAGACTTGGGGTGTACCAGTGAATGGTAGAGTGACATTATCGTAGGCTAGCAAGCGGCGGAATCAAATCACCCGATTGGACGACGGTCGGCACGAGAAGGCGGATCTTGTGGTTATGTAAAACCTCTGCAGAGTGTATGGTTGATCGATCGATACATATGCCGACTCGTCGGCAATGGACCTTTCCTGGGTTTCGCTTAAACTAGATAGAGAGATGAGTCTTTCTTTTCTCCCCTTGGGATGAGTGTTCGGACGTAGCCAGGGGCTACGGGCCTTGAGACAGTGCCGAGAGGGAGTTGGCCTGTCGACTGAGCGATGGTATGGGTGTGGTATGATGATGGAGTGGTGATGATGTGGAGATGGTGGTATATCGATCCCAGGATCGAAACCTGGCTCTGGAATGGGAATGGGGTGGAATGTGTATGAATGGTGTTAAAACTTGACCAACTATTATTATGAACTTGATATGCTAATACATAGGAAGCCCCAGCCTTATAGGTTCCTCTTGATTGTATCCAACTTGCATCCAATTTCCACAAAGCAACGCTCATAGGGTTGGGAGTGGCCAGTACAAATCGTACTGATAAATTTTGGCACACAGGTTTTGCTGAGGAGTATAGCTCCGAGGAGTATGACGGTTGAGGGATTCGTGCCTACGCTCGAGTTTGGCGATCTTATCTTCAAGCTGTTCTGAATGAATGCTACTTTTGATTCCGCCAAAGCGGCGATGTAATAATTTATGTAATTCCGCACTATTTGAACTCTGATATTATCGTTGTATGGATGTGATATTCGACTGAAAATTGGGTAATATGATCTACAACGGTCTTATTACACATCGACTCTGTGGATTTCCCTTCGTGGAAATCGGGGTTGTTTCAAACACACACAGCTTGCTTGTGCAGGACAACCAAATACCAAGATATTGCATACGTTTATGCCATCTTGGGTTGTGTTGAATAAGGTCTAATGCAAGCAACCAATCATACCGGTTAAGAATCTGCTATTGTTGCCAGCATTATAGGCAATGTTCTTTGTAGAAAGTAGAAGAGCCTTTTACCTGTGTGCCA